GTGATTACAGGAACAAATAAACATTTGTCTGGTAAACCAGGTTTAACTCCAGGATTAAGACGAGTACATTTACTAAATTGCTAAAAAAATGTCACCTTTGTTTTGTGCAAACAGAGAAAGTGTTAATTGAATAATAATGATAGAAGTTGTTGATATAATAATTGCAGAAAGAAGAAAAAAGAGCAGCCTCGGACACTTACCTTTTTTCATGTAAAACGTCTCAGGCTTTAGTTTCCTCTAAACCAGCTCCATGGATGTGCGTTCACCGGTTCTTGTGTCCACATATAGTCCTGTGAGTTGGAGGTGTAGAGCGGACTGTCCTCCCGGGGTGTCAGCAGACTGGAGTGCAGAGCGGCTGTGCGCTGAGACACACACACACACACACACACACACACACACACACACACACACACACACACACACACACACACACACACACACACGCACACACGCACGGACGCACGGACTCACGTACACAATGAACGATGCAGGCGGTGACTGCGCCGCTCACACCAACTTTAGCCGAAAAATAAAAATAAACTCAGGTTTCTGGGCTTAGCTGCTTTGCGTGTTTGTATCTGAGTTGTGACTCCTCCAGTTCGTGCAGGAACACCAGCGGGGAGCGACGCGCTTCGTCGCAACGTCGCTCCGCGCAGGATCTCATAGCATCCATAATCTCGGCGTGAAATCCTGACAGAAAGGAACTGTCAGTAATTAAGAGCATTACAGGGAGGATTTATACATCTGATCAGTCAATCAACTAAATCAGAAATGCGCAAATAACGTCTGTATCTTTACAAGGTTGTCAGTTTTCTATCAAAGAGATACAAATGTCAAGTTAAACCACCATTTTCCAACCATCATCATCATCGTCATTATTATTATTATTATTAATAAGTATGCAGAATGCAGATACACAATAAATGTGAGTGGAGCAAATAGGTCTGTATTTTTTCCTTAGAGGTTTATGGCTTGTTTGATCACTGACTGACTTGCACATGGTGCCATCTTGTGTTCATCACAACATATTGCAATTTTCCATTAAAAAGTCAAAATCAGGCAAATGTTCAAATGGGAAAAAATTGAGTCAGTTCTTTATCAATGTTGCTGAAAAAACACCCATAATATTAGTTTTTCTATAAAAACTGAATGTGAAGTTGAATACATTTTAAATGTAATTTAAATCAGCACATAAACTCTTATCACTCAACAATTTAAATTTACAAGATGTTTTTTTTTTTTTTGCTTTCTTGTTTTTAGCCTTTTTGTCACATTTAGCCTATGTGGTATTTAATTTTAGAATGAGCACCATATGTGCATTTATTAGTGTACAACTTAAATAGTAATTTTTTTACCCCCAATATATATATAATTGTTATTATTCTTATTTGTTCACTGAATGTCTGTTTTCACACATAATAAAATATGGTGAAGCAGGGAACAATTTCTAAATGTCACTGAATGTCTTATTTCTCTAAACACTGGCATCTCCAGTGCTCCTGTGTGATGGTGGAACTCTTATAATAATACCTATACTTCGTAAACAATCTACATTTACATTTTTTGCCTTTTGCACACAGACTTGCTGCGCGTTTCCCACGTAAGTCATCTGATAGGAATTTTACAGCTAGCATGTCATTTCAGTTTTGTGATAAATTTCAAATAAATAATCAAAATCAGAGAGTAACTGCCAAAGAAATCCATGGAAAATTCTGTTTTCACACATAAAATATGGTGAAGCTGGGAACGATTTCTAAATTTTATCTTATTCTAACGAGGATTTTATTTTTAGCAATACTAGTAAATATCCTTCAGTGTGATTCTGGTGTTTTTATTAGGGTAGGGAATATGAATCCCTCCTACACTTAGGGAATAGATTCCAGGTGAGTAGGTGGATGAGTGAGACATGGTGTGGAAAGTCAGAAGAATGTGGCGTGTTTAAAAAAATGACAGAAGGGAGACATCAAAAATAAAAACGTTGCACACTTCTGTTATATTCCACTTTATCATTAATGCTTCAACCATCTTTGGTAGGATCAATCCTTTTGAGAGAAACGTGTTTGTGATTATTCAATAAAACTCACTGGGGTGAAGACAACAAATAAAATGCCTCGATTAATCATAGTTTCAGTCAAATGATCTTAAAACGTGAGCAAGAAAAGAAACACATCACTCATCAAGACACGTTTTCACATACAAATCTAAATATCCTCCTGAAACAAGTTAATTAAGGTACGTTACTGAAAATAGTCCCCGTTTCATTAATGAGACGGATCCTTTCATAATCCATTTTCTGTCACGTTTCGGGGATGTTTAGGACCCAAATATGCAGATACCCAGGAGGACACGAGGCAGGAGTAGATATAAAGGAAAAAATCCTTTTATTAGAGGATGAACAAAAATAAATCCAAGGCAACGAGCCTAAAGTCCAAAGTCCTGGAGCACAGGACACAGCTCTCAAAGAGCACGCAGACCAAAGACTTTGAAACAGAAGCTCACCTAGAGCACACAGTCTGGGGACGAGACAAAAAGCTCATAAAGAGCATGAACAAACGCAGACAGAATACAAACAATGGACCGACAAGACACTGAGGCCTAGTCCACACGTAGCCGGGGGAATATCCGCCCCTCCAAAAACTTGCATCCACTCCATCTCGCTTAAAAAAAAAAAAACTGTCCACACGTACCCAGATAAATATGTTGTTAAGGACATGCCAGACCTGTAGGCGGCAGTACTTCCCCCGTTCTTAACCTCGTCCTTCGTCTGTGGTCTTCCGCAAGGAGCAGTAATTCCACTTGCAAAAAACAAACAAGCAAAAAGCGCTTGGACAATTGATCAAGTGAGCGCAGCTCTGAGGGCATCCATTCTGTTGGCTAGTGTAAACACAGGTCGCACATGTGATGTCAGCATTTTTTTGTCGCGGAAAGTGATGTTGCGGACCTTAAAACTCCGGTTTTGTCTGTCCGCACGCAGACACCCAAAACGGAGAAAACGCAGATCTTCACTTTGGCCGGAGTTTTTAAAAAGATCCGTTTTCGTGTGAAAAAACTCCGTTTTCGTGTGGATGACAGGCCAAAACGTAGAAAAATATCTACGTTTTGGCAGATCCCCAGCTACGTGTGGACAGGGCCTGAGACAAGACAGGGCTTAAATACACAGGGAGGATGAGAGGGAGATGAGCTGCAGGTGTGTGGGGTGTGGGAGGAGGACCAGGTGAAGGCAATGACTAATCAGGGGAGAAACTAACTTGATCTAAGAATAAAACCTAATTCAAAAGAGCAGGAAACATAACTCCAATTCAAAGGGAGGGGGGAGAAAAATAATAAACACTGATGGGAAAAAACATACTAAATCATGAAAGGCTGTAACTAAAGGAAATGACTTGAGAAACCTAGAGAGCTGGAGATCTAGGGGCAAATGGGGAAAACCAGAAGACACATGAGGAAGACGCAGACATGACACATGAGGGCACTAGGACACAAAAGGAGCACCTAGAGAACGAATGGAGGACACAAGGAGACACATGAGGGGAGATGCAGACACAGACCATGACATTTTCTGCTTCAGATTTCCCATAATGCTCCTGTTTTGCATTCATTGAGTCAGTGCACATGTTCAGCTCTTCTACACCCACCTGCAGAGCATGGTGCCAGGATCTTTTCCGACCTCAAATTTGTTCATGTTCTCATTACACTGTTTTATTGAACAATGCAAGCATAGAAACTTCAGGGCCTGAATTTTATTTTGACAAGAATAACAAGACAAAAAGGACATAAAGAAAACAATCGGTGTAGTGCACCCGAGCAAGTGAATCCATTTCAGACTTTGGAAAAATAAAGACATGTTGAATTATTTCTAAAAAGCTATAAACAGGAAAACAGAATGCCTCACAAAGGAACACCAAAAGAGGTTTGTTCACAGTTACACCATTTAAAACAAGCACTTATCCGTATAAAAGCTTAGCAGAAAACTCGCTGCAGTCCGTCTGAACAGGTCAGATGTTATTTGTCAAACAGCAGGAGGTGCTGCGTGATTCCAAATCCATCTTGTTTAGGGAGTTTGAACTGCCTGTAGCTGTGTGTGGGTCGGACCACTGCCAGCCATCAGTCAACCTGATGAAGCTGAGGTGCACTGTAGGAAATGACAGCACCATCAGAGCTGAAGGAAGCCTGATTGCCTTAATACAAGTGTCACAAACAATCCAGTGGTATGAACACAGCCAGCTGCCCCAAGAATGAATCAAAATACCCCGTGTGTGTGTGTGTGTGTGTGTGTGTGTGTGTGTGTGTGTGTGTGTGTGTGTGTGTGTGTGTGTGTGTGTGTGTGTAGGTGGATTTCTGCTAGAGTTCATCGTGGGGAGGAAGGAGAGTTTTTGAGTCGAATTTAATAGAATTTCCTAGCTACTGGTTTTATTTTTAGACATTCAGCCTAACACTCAGGAGATACACATCTTTGTTTTGGATGCTTTCTAATTAGCATTGGTTAAGGCTGAACGGCTCACATGTGCTTTCTTTGTTACATCATAATATCTGTAATCGAGTCGAGCTGGAAATGAGACGGTAATCACAATTCACAAAAGCTCTGCTCGAGCTGTGATCAGGCCTGGTATACAGACACCCATTTGCTTTGCAGAGCACAGTGTGCATCTTTCCTGCTTGTGTGAAAGCATTCAGGCTTAACAAAAACTACTCGGGGAAGAAAGGTGGTAAAACAACAAGAGGTGTCAAGAGGGCAACAACCACCATCTCACAGCTGTGCAACATCTCTTCCTCTTTTCTGGGGTGCAAACAATCTGTGCACTGAATTGATCAGCGTTTCCTCACCTTTGTCTCATCACACAGCACACATTTATTATTTCAATATGAAGAGACTGGAGCTGCATGGTGGCACTGTTGCATGGGTTTCCTCTGGGTACTTCGGTTCAACATGCCTGTTACGTTAACTGAAGACTCTTGTCCTTAGGTGTGTGAATTTGTGACTGGACGGTCCCCGTGTGTCCCTGGAATGGACATGGACAAACCGTTATGATAACGCAACAATGCAAATTGATGCAGGCCTGATCGTGTCTTTTTAACCCTCTGGAGGCAGGTGTTGCAGATTTGCAACAGTTAAAACCTACCTACCTGGTTACTCTACATACACATTGCATGAGCATTTTTTAACCCATAAGTACCCCTGAAGGACTTAGTTGTTCATCCTTTCATCCAAATTTATTTTGAGCCTGAGAGGGTTAAATTGCACACAGCTGCACATGCATAAGTAGTTATATGCACAGCATCAACTTCTAGATGCACAGATACGATGCATTTCACAATACATTCATTTATTTAGGTTTCTTTGAAAGTGCATTGCTTTACTCCACAGGACATGTTATGATTTGTACATTACAGGCAAAGCAGACATGTAACAGATTTTAACGTTTGGGTGATAATGTTTGTCTGTGTGAATGCATTTATAAGTTCATTAGCTAAACATCCCATTAACTGGCCAAAGACCCTGAGAAAATATTAGCTTAAAGTACATTTAAACTCATTAACTTTAGAAGGCAACCTGATTTAAAGTTGCCCACAGCTGATTAACATTATAAAAAATGTGGCTTTAACTCAGTTTTATAGCTACTGAAGTTAAATCTGATGTGGTTGGCCTCTTGCTGAGTCTTTCTCAACACAAACTCTTAGAATTAACAAATCACACAATCTCTGGCGATGTCACTAGAAGTTGACTTCACTGTTGTTTGCACAAGGTTTGACGAGCTGTCTCAGTTACTGGTTTTAGTCATGTTTGCATCCCCTCTGCATAGCCATTATGTTCCCTCAGTTTCATTGTGACTGCTCTGTCATGCATGCACACACACACATGCATGCATTCATCCACGCTTGCATGCTTACACACACACACACACACACAAATTCATGTAGACATGCATGCATGCATCCATGCATACACACACACACACACACACACACACACACACACACACACACACACACACACACACACACACACACACACACACACACATGCATGCATAAAAATAAAAAATTCCTACAGTGTTTACAGTGTTAATTCCTTTAATTACATTAGCAATAATTAGTCTGAGTCAGTCGCAAGTTCTTTAGGGTGAAAAAAGTCATATAAATGATTGCATTTAAAGGGGACAAAGAATCTAATCCCACATTTTCTTATTGTTTGTGAATAAAGACAGCTTGGGTGGTCAAACGTAGCATGCCAAAAAGTCAAAACCGTGTGTGACCTACTTTTTATGTAAATTAGAAAGTTTAAAAATGCAAAAGAAAAACATTTTCTAAGAAACCTCTCATAAAAACGTCACAATGTGGAGCCCTTCCTCCTCCAATCTGCAGTTTCCAGTGTCTGAGGCCTTCTGGTTTAAACCAACCTATCAGCAAGCAGCTTATTAGCATATTAATGTCCTTGCAAAGTGGGAGGGGTAAACAGCTTTTTTCACAGTTAGGGGGTTTTGAATGTTCTGCATCAGGGCTGGTGGGACAGATGAAAGCCAAAAGAAAATTTCGTATGCGTCTGATTCCAAGCAGCGTTTTAGATTGCTGATAAACTGCATCATTTGTCCCTTAATAAACAATAAAATAAAGTATAAAAAGTAAAATGATGATCTGAATGTGGTTGGAATCTGTTAAGTCACAGATGTACAGATCGCTGATTCCTTGAGTTTTTTCACAGGAGACACTCAGGACTAGTCTGGCCAATCGATGTTGGAAAATACTTTGAAAAAATATCAGAAAACTTGTTTTAGGCTGTAGATAATACCCAAAATCTGTATCTAACTATCTCAACTGCTTTCATTCAGTAACCATCTTCCCCAGTTTGTTTGGATTATGCCTGCTTGCTGCTCTAAACCACCTGCAATCTTGTGTCCATCTCACCATTAATTATCTATATCTATCTATAACTCCATAGTTTCTCAACATAAGATGATCTCAGGCCACAATTCCTGCAAGAAAGGCATTAGGCAACATGTATAACCAACAGAAATGATATACAGGCTTACATCACTGCTGTTACCCACAAGTATTTGTTTTTTTGCTTGTTTTTATCAACACCAGTGATGTTCCCTGATTTTCAAGGGCCACTATCCTGCATGTTTTCAACATTTCTCTGCTTCAACACATCTAATTTGAATCAGCAGGTGGCTAACAGGCTTCTGCAGAATTTGAGAGCTTCCCAACGAGGTTATTTAAGCATCAAATCAGTTGTGTTAGAGAAAAGAAATCCACTAAAGCATGCAGGATAGTGATCCAAAAGGGCACCGCTGATAAACAAAAAGAGGAAAAAGCTGTTTTGCATTTAAAAGCATGTTTCCATATTGATGTTTACTTTGTGTGAAGGTCAATGATGGGACACCATTCATCACGTGTGCTACGTCTGTTTTATTAATGACCTAATTTTTACATATCATCCATATACAACTAAAATCCAAAGTTAGAGAGAAAACACGAAAAGGAATAAAGTTGCAAAAGCTGGGCAGAATTAAAAGATAAAATAATGAAAAGACTAATGAGCTCAAATAAAAAATGAATGCAGCTTTTAGGGAAATGTTTTAAAACAACGTTCCAGCTGATTCATGATTTTATTTGCTAGACAAAAAACAACATCCATCCATTTACTGAACCCACTTGTCCATGTAGGGTCGGGTGTGTGTGTGTGTGTGTGTGTGTGTGTGTGTGTGTGTGTGGGGAGGGGGGACCCATGCATGCACAGGGAGAACATGCAAACTCCAAGCAGAAAGATCCCAGGCCGGGAGGCAAACCCAGGACCTTCTCGCTGCAAGGCAACAGCTCTAACCACTGCGCCACTGCACAGCCCAATAAAAACAACAGTCAAACTAAATAAAACATTTTTCAGCACCAATGCTTTTTAGATCTCATTTGAAATAAAGTAACAAGATGAATCAGTGAATCAGCAGCTGGAGTGACAGGCTTTATTTTAGCTGTCATGACAACAAGTACACAGAGTCAGAGACTCACTGGTAAGCAGAGGGAGCGTTCATCAGCTAAATATCCAGTTATTTTCCACAGGAGCTGTCAGAGAAAAACACTGAACGTCAGACTTATTTGACACAAATGAATAAAAATGTAGCTGTGATGAGAGGCTGTTTAACGTGTTGATCTGAGCTAAAAGGCTGCTGAGTGGAAACCAAACTATTAGTTTTACTATTGAAAACCGAAATAAAAATGTGTTCATCTCCTTTAATATTAACAGTATCTATTTTCAGAGCAGCATTATATATTATTTTGCTGTGACTTTGGCAGTTATGCAGGTCGCGTGCAGGATTTAACCTCAGCTCGTCATCATCTCTGTGTCCTTGAATAAAGCCTGTGAGTGTATGCAGGCAGCTTAAAGGTGTATCTACACCACTCGGCACAAAGAAACCCTGCTATTTACTTTAAGCACAAGGTAAATGACAAGCCGAAAGATGTGACCTGACAAGCAAAATAAACTTGTAAACAGGGGAAAAAAACACAGTCAAAATCTTAGTAAAATCTGGTAAAGAAAATGAATACGGTAGTTTACCATGACACCACTTTGTCCAAAAACAGATTTAAAGAGGGACTTGCAGAGACTGTTTCAGTGCTTTGTTGATGCAAAAATGTCCAAATGAATGCAACAATGGAGAGTAGCTACTTTTATGGGGCAGCAGTAGCTCAAGAGGTTGAGCGGGTTGTCCAGATATCAGAAGGTTGCAGGTTTGATCCTGGCTCCAGACAGAGAAATCTGCTGTTGTGTTCTTGGGCAAGACACTTAACCCACCTAGTCTGCTGGTGGTGGTCGGAGGAACCGGTGGCGCCTGCGTTTAGCTGCCTCGCCTCTGTCAGTGCGCCCCAGGGCAGCTGTGGCTACCTCGTAACTCATCACCACCAGTGTGTGAATGGATGAATGGTACACTGTAGTGCAAAGTACTTTGGAGTCCTCTGACTCTGAAAGGTGCTATACAAGTGTGGGTCATTTATCATTCTGTAAAAATGTCATAAATGAAAATGTTCCAGTATCAGTAAATGTGATCTATTCTTAGCGTTTGCATACTATCTCATGAAGCAAACTGGTTTTATGGAAACTCTCAGACGGTGGTCAGTGAACATGCGGGTGAAGGTTCTCAGTCATCCAGGTCATGGTAATCCAAAAAGGTTCAAATGAAGGCAACTGGACTACTTTGGTTTCTTGAAGACGTTTTGTCAATTCTGACAAGAAAATAGAAGAGTCAAGCTTATAAACGGTGACTGTCTGTTGTTGCTTAATGAGCAGAACCTACCTATGAATACCCCTACTCCCAGGGGAGTCATTGGTGTCGTCAGGCCCTATTGTGTTGGACTGGTTGCTTTCATGCAGGAAGGTGTGACCTAGGCTGAAACTGCTTAAGAATGAGATTCAAAGCTGCATTAAAGGTACTGGAAAGCTGAAACCTAAGCCCCCCTCCCCTATTTAAAGTAGGTTTTTCATGTTTAACATAGATAGTGTCTTTTACCTTCTATCTTCTCTGTCCAGAATGTCTACTTTGTCAGTGAATATTTGGACAGAGAAGATAGATGGTTTGAGAGAGAGGTAAAGAGAGCCATCTATGAGAGCCATATAGCATAAAATCATGTACAAATCTATGACTCCATCATTTTTCAACAAAAAAGTATCTTAGACTAAAACTCTGTTGTGAAAGGTGGTGGCTGATGAATATTGCTTCCAGGATTTAAAAAAAATGTTTTAATGCCATTAGATCAGAGACAAAGCCCTGGGTCACATGCTTCCTAATTTAGCATCTGTAAAGAAAATCAAAGAAAGTAAGATGACATCATGGCAGATGTGAGAGGAAATGTCCCTCCAGGCACCGTCTCAAACAGACCAAAGGATAATGTGTCATCCGCAGGTGCACAAATGTGCTATGTAGGCAACGTTGTGATGGTACAGTTTCCAGTGTTGTGGTTGGAAACAGCCTGTAGGCAGGAACTTGATCTGGTATGTAGGAAGGTCTGG